GAACATGTTCCAGTCTGTGCTAGCAAAACAGTCCTGTAGCTTAGCATCTGCGTCATCTGACCACTTTTTTATTAACCGAATCACTGGTGCTTCCTGCTTCAGTTTTTGCTTATAAGCAGGAATCAGAAGGATAGAGTTATGGTCAGATTTGCCAAATGGAGGGCGAGGGAGAGCTTTGTATGCGTCTCTGTGTGTGGAGTAAAGGTGGTCTAGAGTTTTTTTTCCCTCTGGTTGCACATTTAACATGCTGGTAGAAATTAGGTACAACGGATTTAAGTTTCCCTGCATTAAAGTCCCCGGCTACTAGGAGCGCTACATCTGGATGAGCGTTTTCCTGTTGATTAATGGCCTTGTACAACTCATTCAGTGCAATCTTAATGCCAGCATTGGTTTGTGGTGGTAAATAGACAGCTATGAAAAATATAGATGAAAACTCTCTTGGTAAATAGTGTGGTCTACAGCTTATCATAAGATACTCTACCTCAGGCGAGCAAAACCTCGAGACTTCCTTAGTATTTGATTTTGTGCACCAGCTGTTGTTTACAAATATACAGAGACCGCCACCCCTTGTCTTACCAGAGTCTGCCGTTCTGTCCTGCCAATGTAGCGTATAGCCTGCTAGCTGAATGTTATCATTGTTGTCGTTCAGCCACGACTCCGTGAAACATAAGATATTACAGTTTTTTAATGTCCCGTTGGTAGGATAACCGTAATCTTAAATCGTCAATTTTATTCTCAAAAGATTGAACGTTGGCTAATAGGATTGATGGGAGAGGCAGTTTACTCGCTCGCCGTCGGATCCTTACAAGGCACCCGGATCTGCGTCCGCGATATCTCCGTCTCTTCCTCACGCGAATGACGGGGATCTGGGCCTTGTCGGGTGTCTGTAGGATATCCTTCGCGAACGCCTCGTTGAAGAAAAAATCTTCATCCAATGCGAGGTGAGTAATCGCTGTCCTGATATCCAGAAGCTCTCTTTGGTTATAAGAGACGATGGCAGAAACATTATGTACAAAATAAATTACAAATAACGCGGAAAAACACACATAATAGTACAATTGGTTAGAGGGCTGTAAAACGGCAGCCATCTTCTCCGGCGCTGTCTGGGAGACATATAATGACATAGGGTAAAGAAAACCAAGTTTTCACATAGCACCCTCTTGAACTGACCCTTATTTTCCTGCATTCTAGAACACTGAGTGGACTCGTATTTATTGTCAGTTTGTTTAATTAGAGCGCAGGTGAAATCTATTAAAAATGAAGATATTTGAAAATGCTGACTTTTTCAAGCTAACGGGTAAGTTTTGTAAGAAATGTGTCTTACGTGTAGACACAGTGAACTACATAAGTGGAAAACAAACCTAGCTGAAACAAAGATGGCCAAAAGCCTGAGGTGTATCGATCAACTAAATATCAATCTAACATACACAGAAAACATTTTTGCTAGTCGTAGCGTTTTGCAGGTATTCACACTAATGATTAGTATTTTATGTATCTATGCACTCTCTTAAAAACCTTTCTGTAATGTGTTGGAGAACTACATTTTCTTTAAATCAATTAGTAATCATGTTTGAGAAGACTTGCGAGCATAGCGGGAAATGTTTATACATTGTCCACATGTGAGAAGATCAAACTTTCCTTTCTAATTTTCTACAACTAGCCTACCATCCCTGTTATAATCTGAGCCATTGTCTGGTCAGCTCAGGACAGAACTTTCCTAGACACTGCAGCGAATTTGTTCTGACCTGAGTTGACCAGTCAATCAAGGTCAAGCCTTTCGATCAGAAAGAGGAAGGATGGAAAGTTCAGCCTGGTGTCTTCTTATCTCTAGCTCAGGGGTGTCAAACTCATTTCCTCCGCGGGATGCATTCGCTCTTCACCGAGGTCCGGAGAGCCAGACTTAAAATTCATTATTTCCTTTGCGTCAAAATGTGCAAATCATAGTCCTCTGTCCATCGCTTTTTGAATTTTCGATGCTCCCTGACTGTCTAGCTGGACAGAGTGAAGAGACTATAAATGTAGATGCATTAGACCTATCATTTCTACACAGTTTTGATTTGGTTTTAGTCATTTCAATATCGATTGAGATCGTGTTCCACCCAAAAAACGTTATTTAGGCCTATTTTATTATTATTGTTATTATTATTTATTTTATTTTATCTAACCACCAGTGGGCCGGATTGAATCGGCTAGCGGGCCTTGAGTTTGACACGTGCTCTAGCCTATATAATTAGCATAAAAGGTACAAAACTATAAATAATATAAGATATAACCTCTCAGTTTACGGCGAAACAACTCATCAAAATTCTGTTCTAAAAACAGTATTGTTTATGACACAAGTGTGCTAGCCGTCACCCCCAAGCTTTTGCAGAGGGGCATGTCTGTAATCTCTCAATTCAACCTTTAAAAAAGCAGTTTAGGAGTGATTAAGACATCGCAATCGATTAAGACTTGGCAGCAGCCGCGTCTACCGACGGGTCAATAAAGGCTTGTTAACTCAGTCACAGGGAGAAGGGTGACAACTTGGAATAGGTCTTCAGTCCGTCACCAATATCAGACAGATTATGGGAGATATAATTAAATAATTATCCTGCCACTGTTGTGTTGTTGGTATTGATTTATTCGACCAAATGTCTCGCCACTCCACCCCCCCAGGCATAGTGTAGCATAGCATATGGACGCTTGGCAGGAGTCCCAAATTGCACCCTATATACCCAATGGGCCCTGGTCAAAAGTAGTGCACTATGTAGGGAATAGGGTGCCATTTGGGATGTACACAGAAGTGACAAACACCAACTGAAACGGTCTGCCTTAAGAACATGATATGTATAAAAATAGTACAGTAGCCCTTTGTCTAGCACATGTACTGCAGTGTGAGGATATCAAACACATGGCCTGTTATTAAACCTCTTAAATGTAACTGCATGTAATCGAAAATGTAATCTATGTAATCCCCAAAAGTAATTATTTATCATGAGAGGGCCATAAACAATTACTAGGAATGCTGCATACTCCAAGAAAGGTTCAAATCTCACCTTTCTGGTAAAATATGTTATAAATTGCTGAGGTGTAGTCACGTTTGAGGACACAAACTCAACTACATAGTACAAATATGAAAAAAAAAATGAAAATATGATTTATTTTATATGATGTATTTCCTATTCAACAAAACCATATGAATAAGGCTTGAAATGAGTTATAATGTTTCTAAATATAGTATAATCCATTTATAAAATGACTAATTATAAGATTTCACCTTCCTTATAACTGTAAAATACATATTTGCATATTTAGAAAATGTGCATATTTTCTAAAGTTCTCTCTTGATCAAAACATCTGCCCCATCGCTGTGAACTTCTCCGAGCTCTAGCTTGGCTTCCTGAACTCGTTAGGAACTCACCATTCATCTCATATTAATCTTGTCCATCTATGACAAACAGAAAGTGTTTTTTTTTTAAAATCTATTCTGAACAAAAATATAAACACAACATGTGAAGTGTTGGTCCCATGTTTCATGAGGTGAAATTAAAGATCCCAGAATGTTTCCATACGCACAAAAAGCTTATTTCTCTCAAATGTTGTATCCAAATTTGTTTACATCCCTGTTAGTGAACATTTCTCCTTTGCCAAGATAATCCATCCACCTGACAGGTGTGGCATATCAAGAAGCTGATTAAACATTAGTATTTCTGTCTGTAATAAAGCCCTTTTGAGGGGAAAACTCATTCTGATTGTCTGGGCCTGGCTCCCCAGTTGGTGGGCCTGGCTCCCAAGTGGGTGGGCCTATGGCCTCACAGGCCCACCCATGGTTGCGCCCCTGGCCAGTCATGTAAAATCCATAGATTAGGACCTAATAAATGTACTTCAATTGACTGATTTCCTTATATGAACTGTAACTCAGTAAAATCGATGAAATTGTTGCATCTTGCGTTTATATAATTTTTCAGTACATGAATAATTTTAGATTACTGGCTATAAATAAATCTCTGAATGTGCTACAGTGACAAAACCATGCTCTCCTGATGCATTACGATGTAAGGATTCCAGGCATATGCGTTGTTAGTGGCTGTGACGTAGGGTTCAGCCAGGAGTTGATGGACAGTCGGAAGAGCGTATTAAAATGGTAGGAGGGACATCCCAGCTTCAAGGGGTGTCAGAATTCACATTCTGCTTCACACAGGCAGAAGAGACATACTTATATGTCCATCAGGGCTACCACTCAATGCAAGCCATTTCGATCTATGGTCTCTACATATTGATTTATAAGCTAAATTGTCAACGGTAATTTTGCATCAATATATAAAGTTCAATATTTACAGCACATTTCTGAACACAAAAGAGAGGGCCAGATATCGGTTACAATGTCACCTCCATCTCTCACATTGGTTACTGAACCCACACTTCAAACCCACAGCAACATATGAAGATAGAAAATAACATGTACTAAGTGCAGAACAAAAGATGTAAGTCATGACATATGTTATACAGTCAATTATACCTCTCAGTCCTACAACTGATTAGACCTGTCTTGGTCAGGTTTACATTACTGTCCTGATTCATAACTTGATTATGAGGCAAGCATTTGCGGTACATTGACTTCCATTGGCTTTTGGTTAGAAAAGGCTGATATTATTGGTTGGTGCAAAGTTTGGTAACAGAATAATGGCACAAACAAACTTTGCATCTGCACTTCCTGTGGAAATTGTTAAAAGTACTCCTTGTGCATAGAATTGTATGATTTGATTAACTTTGCAGTCATTGGGTTTTGTTTGACATACATTTTAATGTGAAACATCTGAGTCTCAGCATCATAATGTTACCATTGAATTGCATTAAACAAACCCAAAGCGTTGATATTAGTCTCTCCTTATGCATAAACTGCTTTCAAGGAATAAATAATTGTTTATGTGTGTGTGTATGGGGAGCACCAGCTAGAGGACAACCAGACCTAGTACAAGTTGCTGTGTCCCTCCCTATAAGGTTGAGGCTTTGAGGCTCACCTGGTCCAGGGTGGGGTCCCGTGGGTGCTGGATCTCAGCTGCCACCACAGCAGCAGACGAGGAAGAGGAGGGGTTCTGGAAGGCACAACCTCTACACTGTGGTAGCCTTGTCACAGAGCACTCCACTGGTTCCCAGATAGCATTGTAGGGTGTATGTGTATGTGTGTGTTCCTGAGAGAGAGAAAGAGAAAATGAAAATAAAGGACAAAACAACTAAATGCTCCATTTCTCCCATGCAAAGTAACCCACAGAAAAGCCTGTAGGGAGACAGCATTAAAGGCCTCTGAGCCGCCAGCCACTCACTTACCCACTCGTCAGCACAGGAAGGCATACACCTTAATCCTGGGGGAAATTGAATTTGTATAAACGCTTTTTGGCTAGTGACACTGATTGCTGTTTTATAATGACAGATAGTTTAAATGGATCATTACTTTGAAGGGACCGTAAATACTTTTACCAACGGAACTATAGAATGCTGTTGGGGAAGTGTGTACTGTATGTATGGATCAAAGGTGCTTGGATCACAGAAATAGAATGATTCATTCTTATTCTATGGCTTGGATAGCAACACTGTCAAAGGGAAAAGTGACTAGGGGATTCTAGCAGGCACCATGGCTTCTTTTGTCCTGACTAATCTATTGAGTCAGTGATTTGGATGAATCCAGGTTAGAGCCTTTCAGAGTTGGGACATCGTTCAGACAGGTTGGTTTCTCTCACCCCCACTTCAAAGAGAGGGGAGCTCTCCAGCATAGACTTATGGCATCAATGAAGCAGGGGTTTTGTAACTATGGAAACATCTTGCTGACTGCAGTGTTTACCTCCTATGACAGCGCTTCCCTCTCTTTATGGGCATCCCCAAAGAGGTACTAAAACAAGCCCGAACAAGGAAAGGCTGTAATAGCAGGTTCTTCGTATGTGGTTGTATTATTCCAAACCCCCACCGTGAAATCACAAATTAAGTAATTCCTGTAGGTTAGGCAACAACGCAAAGATTAAAGATAAAGTCAGATGTTTGATTTCTTTCAGGTCTACCTGTGGTGTTGTTGTCCCTGTAAGGCTGAAGATGGCTTTTAAGGGCCTGTATGGCCACGATGCTCCGGAAACCAGTAGGATAGAGAGGTTGTGGTGACATGGGTGCCTGGGTGAGAGGCATGGACACTGGGCTGGACCTATAGCTGTGGCCCCCCACCCTCTGGTGCCTCTAAGCCTGTCTATCTGCTCCAGATCACACACGGTGCTCTGCAGCTCACCTAAGGTACATGGTCACAAGTTACAACATCCACTTTTGATTTGATTGAGGGTCACTGACATAAGGATATATGTTTATTTGTGGGAAGTAAATGTACCCTCTGCCACGGGCAGCAGCTGCTGCCCACACACAGCACAGTCTAGTCCTCTGGAACAGGGTCTCTGGTCGTTAGTCCTCTGGAAGACAACACTTGAGTTGACTTGATGTGCATCATATCACCCGTTACACACAAACAATGTGCATCACTACTGTTCAGAAACCTAGGCTCCAACCATGGTCTATGCAGTGGCCTCTAACTCACCTTCCTCCTCCGAGAGGCCCTTTTGGCCCCTCTATCGTGCTTACAGCTCCTCTGCACCATGATGCCTGGACCAAAGTGCACTGTGGTGGTGGCGGGGATGTTAGGGGTGGGGGAGCTGCTTGTGACTTCTTCCATGCCCTCCCAAGAGGGGGGCAACCGTGCCTCTTTCCCCCTGGATCTCTTCTCCTCTGGTCTGCATGTTGCCTTCAATCTCCCCCTACTGCTGTACTGTTGGCAGAAAACACCAGTAACCTCCTGCCCCCTGGCCTTACTACTGTTGGTCTCTGGCTTGGAAATATCTTCCTGCCCCCTGGCCCTCCTGCTGGTTCCTGACTTGAAAGAGTCCTGTGGCCCCCTGGCCTTGGCCTTAATACTAGTCCCAGACTTGGTAGAGGCCTGGTACTTTCATCCTGTGATGGCTTGCTCTCCCTCATTCTCCTCAGCCTTAGGACCAGAACCAGCCACAATAACAGATCTGACTGGCTGTCCTGCCATGGACCTCAAGGCCCTGGTTTTGGTCTGGGGCTGGACTGGGACACTGGAGGTGGGTGCAAAGGGCACCCCTGCCTTGGTCCTGCCTCTGCCCCTCTGACTGCACCTGACTTGGGTCTGGGCCTGGTTCTTAGCCTGGGTCTTGGAAAGAATAACTTTCCTTTCCATGGCTGGGTCTGTCTTGCAACAAGGGCCTCAGTGCCGTGAACTGCCAATTAAAGCAAATTATGTCAATATGCCAGCCACCTCATACTGCTTAGTGTTGTCTTTTAAGTGGCAAAATCTCAAACAAGCTGAAATAATGGAAACAAACTTACTTTCCAATTATCAGCAACCTGGGACATTAATACAATTCCACAATTACAATAAGCCTACTGAATGAATAAACACACTCATTTATTTAATTTGTTCCGACCCACAAGGATATATAAAAGACTTAGGCTAATCAATGATGAGATATTAAAGGGACTTAGGGAAGCCCCAGTAAATACTCTAATAACCTCATAGTGCTGCTTAATAGCCTTACAGTGCTACAGACCAACAGACTAACCACCTATTAGGATGTTTTTAGGACATCTGCTTACCCTCTCCCACGGCACGCTCGTTGATGCTGATATTAACGAGGTGCCCAGCCACGTTCAGCCATGCAATTACATTAACTAACGATGCTAAGGCACTGTCGTACAGTGAGGCTGATGAGCAGAGGGGTGAGCTTTAATTGAATGGTTCGGTAGTCCACTTTGGACTCCTCCGTCAACCAATCACAGGTTAGGGATCATTAGGGAGGTTTGTGTTCTAACGAGACAACATCTTGTCAAGCTAATGGGGCTTAATTTGCCAGACTTCACTGTTCCCGCCTCCCTCCATCTACAGTTCAGCTTCTTTAACCATTGGTATGATTGCTCATTGTCGGGGTAAGCTCCAATAATCCAAACAAGGCCCTTAAACCATGATCACAACTAATCCTCCTAACACTGTAAATTACCTTTTACTCTTCACAACATCATTAAACCATTTTCCCCATTAAGGGGAACGGTTAGGATTTACGTGACAACATATGCCAATGCTTAACTGTTCATACACACAGAGAACATTAGGCATATACGTGAGGCAATGGACATAAACAGGTCAATTAAGAAATTGAGAAAATTACCGCCATCATAGCAAAGACAGACAGGTACAACTACTAATAAAATATTAACATAAAAACAGGTAGTCAATTACAGTTTAATAACTGAGACTTAAAAAAATAAAGCATTTATAATTTTTCATTGGCTTTACCTTCCGATTGGAAGATAAAACATTTATTTTTGGTACTATTGGGTCAATAACATGGTAACTGGCAAAGTAAAGCCTGTTTTTACACTGAGATACAGTGCATTCAGAAAGTATTCAGACCCCTTCCCCTTTTCCACATTTTGTTACGTTACAGCCTTATTCTAAAATTGATTGAATTAAAAAAATGTCCTCATCAATCTACACACAATTTCCCATAATGACAAAGCGAAAACAGGTTTTTAGAAAATTATGCAAATTTATAAAATATTAAAAACAGAAATACCTTATTTACATAAGTATTCATACCCTTTGCTAAGAGACTCGAAATTGAGCTCAGGTCCAACCTGTTTCCATTCATCATCCTTGAGATGATTTGGAAAGGCACACACCTGTCTATATAAGGTCCCACAAACTGTCTCATATAGTTCCTTTGTTCCTCCCCCCATACACGCCGAGACCGGCTCAATCGATGCCTCCAATGACGCTATCTCTTTCATTGTTACCCAACACTTAGGATTACCTGAACTGTACTCATATCCTTCCATATCCTTTTCTGTACATAATGCCCTGAATCTATTCTACAACGCCCGGAAATCTGCCCCCTTTATTCTATGTACCCAACGCACTAGAAGACCAGTTCTTAAAGCCTTTAGTCGTATCCTTATTCTAGTCCTCCTCTGTTCCTCTGGTGATGTAGAGGCTAACCCAGGCCCTGCAGCCCCCAGTATCACTCCTACTCCCCAGGAGCTATCATTTGTTGACTTCTGTAACCGTAAAAGTCTTGGTTTTCTGCACATAAATATCAGAAGCCTCCTTCCTAAGTTTGAGTTATTCACTGCGTTAGCACACTCCGCCAACCCTGATGTTCTAGCAGTGTCTGAATCCTGGCTTAGGAAGGCCACCAAAAATTCTGAAATTTCCATCCCCAACTATAACATTTTCCGTCTAGATAGAACTGCCAAAGGGGGTGGAGTTGCAATCTACTGTAGAGAGAGCCTGCAGAGCTCCATCATACTATCCAGGTCTGTGCCCAAACAGTTTGAGCTTTTACTTCTGAAAATCCACCTTTCCAGAAATAAATCTCTCACTGTTGCCGCTTGCTACAGACCCCCCTCAGCCCCCAGCTGTGCCCTGGACACCATATGTGAATTGATTGCCCCCCATCTATCCTCAGAGTTCGTACTGCTTGGTGACCTAAATTGGGATATGCTTAATACCCCAGCCATCCTACAATCCAAGCTAGATGCCCTCAACCTCACGCAAATTATCAACGAACCTACCAGGTACAACCCTAAATCCGTAAACATGGGTACCCTCATAGATATCATCCTGACTAACTTACCCTCTAAATACACCTCCGCTGTCTTCAACCAGGATCTCAGCGATCACTGCCTTATTGCCTGCGTCCGTAACGGGTCCGCGGTCAAACGACCACCCCTCATCACTGTCAAACGCTCCCAAAAACACTTCAGCGAGCAGGCCTTCCTAATTGACCTGGCCCAGGTATCCTGGATGGATATAGATCTCATTCCGTCAGTAGAGGATGCCTGGTTGTTCTTTAAAAGTAATTTCCTCTCAATCTTAAATAGACATGCCCCATTCAAAAAATACAGAACTAAGAACAGATATAGCCCCTGGTTCTCCTCAGACTTGACTGCCCTTGACCAGCACAAAAACATCCTGTGGCGTACTGCATTAGCATCAAATAGCCCCCGTGATATGCAACTTTTCAGGGAAGTTAGGAACCAATATACACAAGCAGTTAGGAAAGCAAAGGCTAACTTTTTCAAACAGAAATTTGCATCCTGTAGCACTAACTCCAAAAAGTTTTGGGACACTGTAAAGTCCATGGAAAATAAGAGTACTTCCTCCCAGCTGCCCACTGCACTGAGGCTAGGAAACACTATCACCACCGATAAATCTACAATAATCGAGAATTTCAACAAGCATTTTGCTACGGCTGGCCATGCTTTCCACCTGGCTACCACTACCCCGGCCACCAGCTCTGCACCCTCTGCTGCAACTTGCCCATGCCCCCCCCCGCTTCTCCTTCACACAAATCCAGACAGCTGATGTTCTAAAAGAGCTGCAAAATCTGGACCCCTACAAATCATCTGGACTAGACAATCTGGACCCTTTCTTTCTAAAACTAGCCGCCGAAATTGTTGCAACCCCTATTACTAGCCTGTTCAACCTCTCTTTCGTAACGTCTGAGATCCCCAGAGATTGGAAAGCTGCCGCGGTCATCCCCCTCTTCAAAGGGGGTGACACTCTAGACCCAAACTGTTACAGACCCATATCCATCCTGCCCTGCCTTTCAAAAGTTTTTGAAAGCCAAGTCAACAAACAGATCACCAACCATTTCGAATCCCACCGTACCTTCTCCGCTATGCAATCCGGTTTCCGAGCTGGTCATGGGTGCAGTTCAGCCACGCTCAAGGTCCTAAATGATATTATAACCGCGATCGATAATAGACAGTACTGTGCAGCCGTTTTCATTGACCTGGCCAAGGCTTTCGACTCTGTCAACCACCGCATTCTTATTGGCAGACTAAATAGCCTTGGTTTCTCAAATGACTGCCTCGCCTGGTTCACCAACTACTTCTCAGATAGAGTTCAATGTGTCAAATCGGAGGGCCTGTTGTCTGGACCTATGGCAGTCTCTATGGGGGTGCCACAGGGTTCAATTCTTGGGCCAACTCTTTTCTCCGTGTATATCAATGATGTCGCTCTTGCTGCTGGTGACTCTCAGATCCACCTCTACGCAGACGACACCATTTTGTATACATCTGGCCCTTCATTGGACACTGTGTTAACAAACCTCCAAACGAGCTTCAATTCCATACAACACTCCTTCAGTAGCCTCCAACTGCTCTTAAACACTAGTAAAACAAAATGCATGCTCTTCAACCGAACGCTGCTTGCACCCGCCCACCCGACTAGAATCACTACTCTAGACGGGTCTGACCTAGAGTACGTGGACAACTACAAATATCTAGGTGTCTGGTTAGACTGTAAACTCTCCTTCCAGACTCACATTAAGAATCTCCAATCCAAAGTTAAATCTAGAATCGGTTTCCTATTTCGCAACAAAGCCTCCTTCACTCATGCTGCCAAACATGCCCTCGTAAAGCTGACTATCCTACCGATCCTCGACTTCGGCGATGTCATTTACAAAATAGCCTCCAACACTCTACTCAGCAAATTGGATGTTGTCTATCACAGTGCCATCCGTTTTGTCTCCAAAGCCCCATATAATACCCACCACTGTGACCTGTACGCTCTTGTTGGCTGGTCCTCACTACATATTCGTCGCCAAACCCACTGGCTCCAGGCCATCTATAAATCACTGCTAGGCAAATCCCCGCCTTATCTTAGCTCATTGGTCACCATAGCAACACCCACCCGTAGTCTGCGCTCCAGCGGGTATATCTCACTGGTCATCCCCAAAGCCAACACCTCCTTTGGCCGCAATTCCTTCCAGTTCTCTGCTGCCAATGACTGGAACAAATTGCAAAAATCTCTGAAGCTGGAGACACTTATCTCCCTCACTAACTTTAAGCATCAGTTGTCAGAGCACCTTACCGATCACTGCACCTGTACACAGCCCATCTGAAATTAGCCCGCCCAACTACCTCATCCCTATATTGTTATTTATTTTGCTCATCTGTACCCCAGTATCTCTATTTGCACATCATCTCTTGCACATCATTCCAGTGTTAATACTAAATTGTAATTATTTTGCACTACAGCCTATTTTATTGCCTTACCTCCATAACTTGCTAAATTTGCACACAGTATATTAATTGTATTTCTGTTGTATATATATATTTTTATTTTTGTTTTGTTTTACCCCATATGTAACTCTGTGTTGTTGTTTTTATCGCACT